TCACACATGTTGCTAAAATATTTATAAAAAAAACAACAGTTATTAACAATATTAAATCTGATGTAGCTAATTAATTGAGGAAAGTGGCCGACGATGTTATTATAAAATCTCTCATTCAGGCCTCTAGAGGCGATGATCCGATTTATTGGACGTTGTTGTTATTAGGCCTATTGAAACTCTAATCGAATTGAAGTTGATTCACATGTCATACAGTCGATTACATGTTTGCTTCTGAAATGCAGCGATTTGACGTGAGGCGAGGCAAAATTCTATCGACAAATAAGATTACAAAGCGATTGAGGCGACTGTAGGGTGAGATTATCGTCAGAAAACAACGAAACTGATTCATATTTGTAAAATTTCGTCACTCTCCGCAATCGCACCGGTCGAAAAATTGGAGAGGTTGGACGATCCGAACTCTCCAAAAATGGTCACGTGACCAATAAACGAATGGAAATGGAGAGTCCGGACTGCATAATCGAATTGGCCCAAGTGGACGTTACAGCCTCTCGATCAATGGTAACCTCCAGAGTTGAGTTGTGTCCCTTTGTTACATACACACAATCTAATTTGAATATCCCGACCTCCCTAGCTAAGACGTTCTAACCTCATCTTTAACACCGTACCAGACAATGCAATCTAAGGTGGTAATAACTGTGGCTTTCTTCGACACAATATCAGACATATTTATTATAGCAAACCAGACAAAAAAAAAATCACGACTAATTTAATTTGGGTACGAATGTCTCTAGGCCTGCCCTTGATTGATCCGAGTCCGAAGTCTACGACGCATTCTTAGAGGTTGCTTACTCTACCATGTTCACCGGGTTGCTTACTCTGCCACGTGTACCTGGTTGCTTACTCTGTCACGTATACCACGTTCGGTATTATTATATTGATAGTTTGCTATTTAGAAAGTTCGCTTACTATATACATACGTGTTATGTTCTCTTTGCATATACAACTGGCGGTAGTTTTTTTTCTTTGATGTGCATAGCATTTATATCTCATATCAACCTGTCATGAGGTCATCACAGGTTGATATATTCGGTTCATATCAACCGCTGATAACGTTGGTGATCGAAATAATACAAAGAACACAGATATAAATTTGTATTCATTTGACAGTTAAAAATTGTTATGGTACAGTTTGTAGCATTCAGGACCGAAATAAACGGCGTACTTATCGGCATATTTAGATCGGTTATCCATGTCTAAGATATCTTGTCAGCACGTCCGACATGGTCCCAATTGTGATCAATCTAAGAGGTTTCGGTGAGAGAACTTCTGTATGTTAATTTGGAATGTTAAGCAACTGGTAAAAATATTTTGTGATTTTGACTCGCTGCAGGCGGAAGCAGATCAAAGTTTGAATTCTAAGGAAACTGATACCTAGATAAATCATATCTTGTTCTTTAAAATGATATTGGTAAATCGTGTGCAAAACAATAAATCACAGCCTATCCAATTACCACGACAATTTTCGTATGATTCGTTCCCTAAATGAACCAAAGTTTGACTTTTGGTTTCAGTAGGCGAAACTACATATCCCCACACTGATCAGAAGTGAATATTCGCTAGGCAGCTACAATCACTGATAAGGATGACATCGATGCGACTTAATGATCCCCAAATATTAACTTTTTTCCTCCGACAAATTAAATTCTAAAACATATTTGTAGGTATTTACCCCATTTAGTGTAAATGGATATTAAAATGAGTAAAGGGCACCATTCTGCCCGAACCAGTAAGGTCTTAAGTAAACAATCCGTACGCCATTGAGTCAATGATTGACGCTACGTGATGTGACGTCACGCGTTGAGGGCAGTCATCTTTTACAGGTATTAGAAGACTTTCGTACTCCTCTATGAAACTGATTGACATACAACATGAATTGTAGACCCTTAAAGGGATATTCCCAGATGGATTTTGGGCTATAAACCTGCTTAATTGTGTGTGAAAATCCCTTAATAACCTCTAACTTAGATCCGAGCAACTGCCTCAAGCCATGTGATACGTTTTCAAAAAACTTCCAATCGTCGGTATCGCTCCATGCGTGAAGACTTGTGTCCTGTCTGCATTATACAGAAGTGCCTGGATAACACGCGACTATGTGCAGCGCGTGCGCAGTGACATTTCCGTGTTACTTTCAGTTTGTTTATTCTAGTCTGGTGACAATGAGTCTTAGCCGTTCATGGCTCTGTGTTGATTATGTTTGATCGTTTTTTGATATACTGTATTCGACATTTATGTGCTAAATATGGATATTATAGACATAACCACAACTAAACACCATTTGTATATGCCGTGGAATTATAGGATGGGTTGTTTTTATATTTTCGTGTGATCAAATAGATACTAGGCCTACGAAATGATACATTGTATACTAAAATAAAGAATGAATTCTTTGTAATTTGGAAGATAGGATGGTTTATAGTGATAGCAGGTAGTCACGTATTTATAAAAGGAATGGCTGGTAATTTTTGTCAATTGAAAAACTGTCATTCAAAATGGTTGAGAAGCGTGTAAACTGTAAAGTGTAGTAGGACAGTGAGGAACAGGCAAGTGTGATCAATGGACATGCAGGACTTGTGATACAAGTATGTCTTCATTCTTTATGAAATGTTTTGACCAAACTAAAAACTACCAAATAATAAAGACTATTTTTCGTTGAAAGTAATTATGTATTGCAATGTGTATATTTGTTTTAAACTCAATGAAATTTATAAACCAAATGACAATATCCTTAGAATGATTTTTGTTGATATTTTCACAAGTTTTGAATGTTTTGTTTTCTTCAGAATTGTCTAGAAAAAGCTGTGTAGAGGCAGTAAGAGTGGGAAAATCTATCGATATTTTATGCTTTTTATGCTGAGTAGCTGACACATCCAGTGATCCACGCACCACTATTCCTACACCACTATCAAGTTCTGATAATATTAAAAGTTTGCCGGATTTGCCAACACTAGAAAAGGCTACGACTGACCCATCTTACAGACCCTTCCTCTGCATCAAAGCGTAGGAAAACTGCACAGACGTGTTGTCGCAAGGCATCCAAGAGATGTCACAGAGACCATAGAAAAAAGGGTGGCGAGGTTGAGATCACAGAGAATAGATGGATTGAAGGTAAAAATAACAGTAATTTCGTTACTACAACCCTTATGCTGTATTATGCTTACTGTAGATGAAGGGGTTGTGTAGCTCCTGTTACAAACCCAGAATGGTTTTGTTTAAAGTGCCAATGACGACAAACAGATAACTGACAAGTCATATCATTAACATTTTGTATGGCATGCAAATTTGTATGAAAACAAAATCTTTTCAATTCTTTGGCTGTCATGTGAGCTAATTTATTATATAATTACAAAAAAAAATATTTCATTACATCAAGATTACATTTAATATTTACAGATGTTAATATCACAGCTGAATGATAAAAAAAAGAATGGAATTGCTGGTTGTCATCATAGAAAGACAACCAGGCTTGAAATTTGCGACAGTTTGACTATTGCAGCTAGAGACACACCAGTCACGTCTCCACCACCACCGACAAATAAATTATGCTATAGCTATAAACTTTTGCCTCAAAATTGCTTATCTCTAAGACCGGTAAGTAGATGTCAAGTATAAAATCTAAAACTTCATGCAGTGTTAACTTTTATAGTTGGAATACCGGTGATTTCACTATTTCTTTATGGTAACTTGTGATTTGATGACAACCAAATAATTATCACATCAACAACTGGTTTACTCAGAGACTCTTAATATTTACATTCAGGACAAACTCTGTTTACAAAATACAAAAAAAATATTTGACAATAAACATCTTATAGTTATATAAAACTATAATACATTTTTACATATTTTAACATTTTACTTTCAGGAAATTTATCAGTTTTTTTTTTGGGGGGGGGGGGGTTAGATCGCATAACAAACAATGGATGACATTTTGTTAGGGTGCCAGGTGATGATGAACAGAAAAGGTTTCGCCTTGCTGTCTACCGTCAGTTTTGGAGGCACAGTCGACTTGGAAGAGATAATCAGACAAGTAATATCAAACTGTATAGTCTGCACAGTAAAGAGGAGGTATCCTGACAAATGGGCATAACCATGAATGAAGGAGCACTGTTCAAAAGACCTACCCAAATTATCAAACAAAACATTTTTTTCTATTAGTTAAAGATACATTATGGTGGATTAGATAAAGATCTGGCAGTTCTCACTATTACAGTTAAAACAAGATGATGTAAATGGAATATGCTGAGAAATTCAGTCAAATTGCTTCACTAGAAGCCGAGAAAACCTTATTGTAAAAATGACTGTAGCCTAAATTGTCATTTATATTCTGTAATATTCTTAAAATTTTGTGGTCTGTTTCTTCACAATACATGCATCTTCTAGAGTGGGTGGACTTGTGGAGGGGGCTCTTTGTATTCTCGTTGGATCAGCTGGGTCTGGGTATGACTGCCCCAGATTAAAGGTACCGCTGACAACGTTGCCGATCTTTTTGAGTATTTGTTTTATATCTGAAAAATAAATAAATTAAAAAGATTAAAGGAAGTGGGCATATGTCATGCAGTGTTATATGTGAGAAATTGTCCGAACAGTGAAACTTCAATTGTCAGGAGAACAGTATCATGCTGCTAATGGTATACACATCCCCCCGTCCTTTATTGCTGACCTTCGAAAACCAGGATTGATAATGCAGATAAACTTTCTAGGACCCCAAGGTTCGTGAGCCAGCTCCAAAATCACAGTTTGATTGTACAGAGATGAGACACAATAATTTGATGTTTTCTCATATTTTATAAACACATTTGTTCCATGGTTAAAATTGACCAATTAGTTTCTTACATGACTGTGGGACGGGTCATTTATTAGATATTGTTGAATGTTATTACATAAGTAAGGGGAAAACTAACCTAATGTTTCTGTCAGCTCCTTTTAGTGGTTCATGATTTGCATGTGTAGCAGGGTTCTATTCACAAAGACGAACAAAACACCAGGTCATGGGTTCAGGATTTTATTGTGGATCATCAATTTAGTATACATATAAAAAAAACTCTGAAAGACATAAAGAAATGTATAAAAATCAAGAATAGTAATAGTTTACACTATATACATATATTTAAAATAGTGGCGGGAAATAATTGATTTGAAACAAAGGAATGAATAAGATATTTACAATGAGTTTTAACTAATACAATTACATACAAATACATATACATACCCTATAAAATAGGAGTTTATAATAGGGTTGATGTCTTAAATATGGCTACCATACAGACACAGTATGACACAAAGACTGAAATTAAGGTTATGAATAAATTAACACTAAATAGCCGAGAGTAGAATATTCTCAATTACACAAACATACTTATGAAAATACTTATAGAAATATACTAATAACTTAATTATTTCATATATAAATATATTCTAATTACATTACCATATTAAACAGATAAAATATTAAAGTCAGTCAAATAAATATAAAACTTACCAAGTGACAGAATGTGATCCTCCTTGTAACAAGGTTAAGATGCAAGTGAGATTTGAAAGAGAAGCTGAGATGTGGTTATTTTAGTGAGTTAAAAGTGAGTAGAGTTTAGACTTGCTGTTGTAAAGATATTCTTAACCAGCTTAGAGATGGACTATTAAAGGGACAATACAACGAACACCAAATATACCATAAATAACTAATATATTAAAGGGACAATAATACAACAAATATTCAAGATACAATAAATACAAATATACACAAATATACACTACCACATTATCTCCCCACCAGGAGAAGTGGCGTCCCCGTCACTGACATATAAAAAAAACCCAAAAAAAAAACACCCAAACACACGGAAAAATATAACTATAACCTTATTTGCAATAAAAACTACTTCAAATCGTAAATATCCGAATCAAACCAAACTGGGGGATGTTTTATTCGTTGTGATCGTTTAACGGGAATAGGGATAACGGACTTCTTGATTGGAGTAGCAACTTTATTCGAATGCGACCTTAAAACTCTTGTTGAAATAACAGGAACGGGTATTGACGATCTAGACACCCTGGTAATACTTGAATTAGCAGTAGAATTTATGGAAACAGGTGAATTAGAAACAAAATCTGAACTAGCAACTTTATCCGAAATAAAATTGACATCCTTAACAGGGATACTTGAAACAACAGGGTTACACACTGAGTATAAATCGGATACAGGAACAGGAGTACAAACAGAAACCGGAATAATAAAAGGGTCTGTAGTAACTTCAGAAACTAGATCCGGGGAAACTGAAAGCGAAGCATGTGCCAGAACTTGTGAATCATCTGATAATGATGAACAATTGAAAGAATTATTTGACCTTAAATATGGGTTAAAAGAGGATTTAGATACAGGAACGCCCTTAGCACTGATCGGAAGTAAAAGATTTCTATGAAGAGTTCGTGCTGATGAATCACCGTCTTTCATTACACTGTAAACTAGAATAGTAGGGTCGGGTTGAGCAATAACAACATAAGCATCTTCTTCCCATTTGTCTGCGAGTTTATTCTTTCCGCGAATCTGAACATTACGAACCAATACAAAATCTCCGATATCTAATGTAGCTCCTCGTGACTTGAGGTCATAATGAAATTTCTGTTTTTCTTGAGCGCATTGAATATTCTTTTGAGCAATATTATAAACATCTTGAAACCGTTGTTGAAAATCTTGAGAATATTTAGAAAAAGTATGTATATCAGATGGAGAAGAATAAGTACCAAAAATAAAATCAATGGGTAACCTAGGCTGTCGACCAAACATTAAAAAATATGGACTAAAAGAAGTTGAAACGTGTTTAGTGCAGTTATAAACGTAAACAAGATACGGTACATAATCTTTCCAATTCTGCTTTTGATCATCAGATAAAGTACCAAGCATATTCATTAAGGTTCGGTTGAAGCGTTCAGTAAGACCATTACCCATAGGATGGTAAGGAGTGGTGCGGGATTTCTTAATATCCAGAATAGAACACATTTCTTTAATTACATCACTTTCAAAATTTCGACCTTGATCAGAGTCAAGACGAGCGGGAATACCATACGGAAGAATACAATTATGGATGATGGCTTTGGCTGTAGTTTTAGCTGTCTGATTTTGCGTGGGAATTGCAACTGCATACTTAGTGAAATGGTCTGTAATGATCAAAATATTTTCGAAGCCACCCTTTGAAGGTTCAAGGGAAAGGTAATCCATACATACTAATTCAAGAGGCTGGGAAGTTTTAATATTGATAAGTGGTCTCTTTCTGAAATGTTAGGCGATTTTCTGCGGATACAGCGTGAACACAATTTGATTTTATCTTCTACGAATTTAGACATTCCAGGCCAAAAGAAACGAGACTTAAAAAGATCAAGAGTACGATCCCTACCCATATGACCCATATTATCATGAAGAAAAGTAAACACAGTGTCTCGAAGAGAAATAGGAACAACCATCTGTAAAATGGGACCAGATGAAACAGAAATTGAATATTTGCGATAAAGAATATCATCCATAATAAATAAATTATCCCAATGGCGAAGAATATGTTTGGCTTCCTGATCAAAACTGCGTAAAAAATCATATGTCGGTTTAACTCCAGTCTGAACACATTTAAAAACAGATTTTAAAGAAGGGCACGCTTGTTGACATCTTCTCATACGGCTGCTGTCGATAATAATGGAATCAACCGGTGGTGAAACAGTTGGAAGTGAAACATCTTGTGTACAACAAAGGGACTGAACTCTACCTTCATCTATATCATGAGCTAAAGTGACTGCAGAGACAACTGAATTGTTAACTTTATTATATGGAAGACGAGATAAAGCATCTTCAAGGGTATTCTGTTTTCCACTCAAATATTCCAGGGAGAACTCATATGTAGATAATTCGGCAAGCCAACGATGACCAGTAGCATCGAGTTTAGCAGAAGATAATACATAGGTAAGAGGATTATTATCAGTCTTTACATTGAATTTATTCCCATAAAGGTAATCGTGAAACTTTTTACAAACAGCCCATTTTAATCCGAGAAATTCTAATTTATTTGCAGGATACAATCGTTCAGATTTAGAAAGACTTCTACTTGCATATGAAACAACACGTGTTTTACCATCCTGATCTTGGAGTAAAACTGCTCCTAACCCACGTGTACTGGCATCAATGTGAACTTCAAAAGGTTTAGTGAAATCAGCATTAGCTAATACAGGTGATGAAATCAATTGAGAAATAAGAAAATCAAATGAATTCTGTTGTTCAGGACCCCAGAAAAACACAGGTGAAATTTTAGCAGATCTTTTCTTTTTAGTAGTAGAATGACCAACGAGGAGATCAGTTAAAGGTTTCGCTATTTTAGAAAAATCTTTGATGAAACGACGAAAATACCCACAAAAACCCAAGAAACTTTGAATTTCTTCCACGGTTGAAGGAATAGGCCAGGACTTTAAGGTCTCAATTTTATCAGGATCTGTATGAATGCCATCTGCAGAAATAACGTGGCCAAGATACTTAATTGAAGTCTGATGAAAACTACATTTTGAAGGTTTTAACCGAAGATTGTGTTGACGAAGACGTTTAAAAACTGACTCTAACCTAGAAAAAATAATGACATCGTCTAAATATATCAAACATTGTAAAAGATTCATATCACCCATACAGCGTTCCATCATTCTCTGAAAAGAAGCAAGCGCGTTAGTAAGTCCGAACGGCGTAGTATTAAACTCCCAAAACCCGAGAGCACCTGCAGTAAATGCTGTTTTATGTTTGTCTGCCCCGTCCATTTCAATCTGCCAATAACCTGACTTTAAGTCGAGAGAAGAAAAAAATTTAAATTTTAAACCGTTTAATGAATCGAGGGTTTCTTCAATACGTGGTAGAGCATAGGCATCTTTAATAGTAAGTGAATTAAGTTTACGATAATCTACGCAGAAACGAAGACCACCATCTTTTTTCCGAACAAGAACAATAGGTGAAGCATACGGACTTGAAGAAGAACGAATTACATTAGAATCAAGCACTTCTTGTATATGATCTTTAACTTCCTGGTACATTGATGGAGGTATTCTTCTATGACGTTGTTTAAATGGAATGTTATCAGAAAGATTGATCTTGTGTTTTACTAAATCTGTCCTACCAATATCGGTGTCTGATGAACTGAAAATATCCTTGTATTTAATAATTAAATCGTTGAACTGTCGAACTTCGCCTTCAGAAAAAATATTCTTTAAATCATTTGTATGAATACTTCCTAATAAATCATTAATACTATCAGATGACGAATTGGAATGAACAATATCCACTTGATGAAGCTGGCAAATAATGGACTTTGCTGGAATGGTGATAGGTGTTGAAGAGTCATTTTGCATTTTAACTTTAATACGTTGAGAAGAAATATTGAAATTATTACAGCGAACTAAACCAGGAACAATCTTTAAACTTGGATGTGAAGAATTATAATCTGTGGCCATATATTGTTTAGACGAAATTGGCTTAGGAAGGCGTGAAAATCCGGATATCGAAATACATGAATGAGCTGGTATGGTCGTTGAAGATGTAGATTTTAAATCATAAACTTCATTACTCTCTTTAAGTTGATTAGATAAACAAGTAAAAGTTGAACTCCAAGAGGAATCTATATGTGAATTATGGACATTAAAAGAATTATACAATCGATTTAAAATATTGGTACCAATAATAACAGGAACACGAATCTGTGACGATGAAGTACTAGAAGGTACAATAATAAATAAAACATCCATATTTCGATGTGAAATTAAATTCAAACTGGAAAACAAAGTCTATAATCGATAAACAAGGATAATTTATAAATGAAAAGATGAATAAATTATATACTGCATATCCAAGTTGAAAATCAGAGTGAAAGAGCACAAGAATTTTCTGATAAATCACGACTGGGTATACAAGTCTACAGAATAAGATCAAGATGACACAACTGGAATACTACAAGAAAATATATCACTGGATAAACAAGTCTAGAAAACATAAACATTAAAGTTGACAACCGAATCCACAGTCAAGAAGATCACAAGTATAAACAGCATGGACAATCAAGACTACAATATATGAAACCTGGAGTAATAAAATAAAGCTACAATGACCAAGACTAAATCAATGAACAATAGTCGACAGTGACAAAAGATATCAAAACAGAATTGACAATCAATACTATACACCACACCTAATAACAAAGCAGGTCACGTTGACATACCAGAAAGTTACAAGTGGGAAAATTCAAACAACATTACCCAACTAGGTCAATCAATAGTTATTACCTGAGAATAATATCTATTATTTGACCACCAAAACTAAAAGACAATTATTATTAGCTATAGATGTAGATAGATATGATAGTTGTTAATTATAGAAGTTTATGTGTAGTGAAGTGGATGCGCTTAACCAAGCAAGTGTGTGGTTGTTTTTAAATCAATAGTAAAATGTCTGTCAAGGCTGTCTCTTAAAATTTACTAAATATGAAATAAACTAAATTATGAAATATGTTTCTCAGGAAAATACACGAATACACGATACTGTACTAGACACGTTAATATATGGTAACTAAGCAATTGTAAATGTATAAATGTTATAGTTATACCAATAGTATGTAATAACTATTAATTATATTATATTTATGATATATACTATTCAAAAAAAGTAGGGGATATTTGATTTTGGGGGCATAATACTAAAATATGCAAATGACTACGAAAAAAGTCACTATAGAACCTAACAGAAGAAACATTTCCAGTTACATGTGACGCCCA